GCCAGGGCTGCAATGACGAATCTGCCCTTCCTTGTCTGGGAAGTGCCCCCATGGATGGAATCAAGAAGGCGATGGTTGGATGGGAGATTTTGGAGGCGTCAAAGTGAGATTTACTCAGCTCGCAGTGTTTCCTTTCCCTTCCTGCATTCCAAGGCAGGAGGGAAGGGAATGCAGAGCACCCACCCAGGTGCAGGGGGGAAGGGATGGACCAGAAGACATCCCAGCTTCCCTGGGATCTGAGACCTGGCACACTCAGCTTTCTCAGCCATCAGAGGGATGTGAAGAACTGGCATTTTTATTATTCCCTTTCAATTATTTTTTGTTTTCTTTTTTTTTTTTTTTTTTTTTTTTTTTTTTTTTTTTTTTTTTTTTTTTTTTTTTTTTTTTTTTTTTTTTTTTGCCTGGAGAGAGGAGAGCCATTGGATGACGGGACAAGGAGGTGATTCCTCCGCAGTGGTGGCATGAGCAGATTTTCTTGTCAGGTGAGGCTGTAACACATCTCTAAATTTGGGGAAAATTAATAAGAAAACCTTTGCTCCATCAGGGAAAGATGGAAGTGTTTTTCCTCTTCCACTGGGAGCCTTGGGATGCTTTAGTCCCATCCACTCATCTCCACAGCACAGGGATTGAAGAGCTGGGGGATGCTGACCTTGATCCTGGGGCTTGTGGTCATTGATGAGGTGGCAACTGGAGAAGGGGAATTTCTGCCATAAACTACTAAAATTCCTTTGGGAGGTGGTGGTGGGGAAGTCTGCTGTTTCCCAAAACCTGTTTTGGGGCAAAAAAGAAGAGAGTCAGGTTCAGTTAAATTCCCCCTTTTTCTCCCCTGTGCTTTTCCTCACCTAGCTGTCTTGAAAATCAACTCAATCCTGGAAAATCCTTGTTAGAAAGGAGGCAGGAAAATCCTGGAAGCGAGCTTCTGGGTGAGTTTGAGGGGGATGGAGCCAGTGGAACCTTAGTGCCACCGTGCCCCACGGCGATCACGTGTCCCCCCAAATTCCAGGAGGTGACACCCAATCGCTCACATGACTATCCCAATTTACCTAAAAATAATAGCAATGAAAAACTGTTCTTCAGGGAGTTAAGTTGCTAAGTAATTCAATCGCTTGGGAATGCAGCGCGTTCCTGGTGTTGGTAATTTATTTCTGCAAAGGAAAAGCAGGATGGACAGGCTGAGGGGAAGTTTGGGGTTTGATCCCAGCAGAGAAGGATGGAGGCACCGAGGCTGCCTCAGTTTCCCCAGCGCCGGCGCTTCACCTCACCCTCTTCTTTGGGATTCCCCCCGTGATTCCCTCAGCTCTGGTCCTGGGTACCAGCTCCCACACCCATTCCCATATAAATACATAAATATGTGAATATATAAATATTTATGAACATAAATATATAAATACATATATTAAAAATACATAAATATATAAATATTCCCCCCTATAAAAATAAGGGGGTAAAAAAGCCTTCAGGGGGTCCAGCCCCTCACGCCGCGCCTGGGGAAGGGGTTTCTGTGGAGCTGGCGGAGTGGGGAGAAGCCCCTGCAGAGGTGGCTGTCGCTGGTGTCACCCCGGCGCGATGGCACCGCAAGCGTGGGCTGCTGGCACCATCTAGTGGGGGTGGGACCCCCATACAGCGGGACACGGCCCCTCGGGTCACTGCTCGGTGGCCCAGGGACAGAAGCCCTCTGGCCACCCCTCCTGCATCCTCTCCGCGGGGTCTGAACCCGCGTGGGGCTGTGGGGATTTGGGATGGGCGTGTCCCTCCCCCTCCCCGTTAAGGGTCATGGGTGGGGGTGGCAGCTTGTCCCTTCGGCCACCCCATCCCACTGGCATCACATCACATGGCCTGGGGATGGGACATGGAGCCAGATGGGACCCCCACCCTTGCACCAAACCCAGGGACCCCCTCCAACTCTGTCCCTGTGTGTCCTTCCCGCTCCATCCCCCCCAAATCCGGCCCCTCCCCACTTGGGGGGATGCAGAGGGAAGTGACCCGCTTACAGCCCCCCGTGTCCCCCCTCGTGGGGCCTTGGGGTGTGGGAGGAGGAGGTTAGTCCAGGATTTCCTTCCTGGCCAGCGCTGAGCTGCCTATTACATCAACTCTGGTATTTCCAGTCCCCCCGGGGAGAAGGGAGGAGCCAGGAAAAGCAAGGAAATACTGGGGGACGCAGGGAACTGGGGAATCCCACGGGTGGGATTCAGGCCCCTCAATAACACTTGGAGCTGGGATCCCCCGTGGTCCGGGTGGGCTCGGCCCCCGGCCTCAGGCTGGCTCCACCCCTGGCTCTGAAGCTGGGAACGACAGCGGTGGGAGGGAGGGAGAAAGGGAAAAGGGGAAAAGGAAAAAATCTACATGTGGAAAACACACGTCCCAGTGGGCGGGACTTAAAGCGACAGGGAAATGCCAGGTGGCACAAGGGCAGCTGCAGGGACGGGGGGTGGCAGGGGTTGGGTGTCCACCCCAGCTTTTGGGGCGCTGCCTCAGTTTCCCCAGGGGAAATCCCAGGATACTGGGATGCTTTTTCCCAGCCTAATTCCTGCCCTAAAATATCCCCCCTACGGATGCCAGGCTGGGAGTGTGAGGTTGTAAAAAGGTGGGAGGGAGTTCAGGGGACCCGAGAGAGGACAAGGAGCCCAAGATCCTTCATTCCATGAGGGAAAGGAGTGAACCATACTGATGATCCCAGTGTGGTGATGGATTTGGGGTTGGCAGGGGCTGGATTCAGCTGGCAGCAGGGTTGGGGACCCACCAGAATCACTCCTCATGCCCCCCCTTTTTATTTAATATTTCCAGCACTGAGTTACCAGTTGAACTCCAGTTTTATTCCAGATGTTCTATACAGGGCCCATCCTCATTTGGGACACACTACCATGGGGAAAATAATCCCAAATTGACCCAAAGAATAAAACTCTGGGAGAAAAGTTCATTTTTTGGGCACAGTTTCTCTTTGAAACCTACTGAAAGCTTTTGTGGGGGACTGAAGGTGCTTTTCCAGGCCCTCACCTGGCATCAGTGTGGGATAGGCACTGGTGGAAATACAGGTCCCTTCGGGAGAAAATGAGATCCTAAAAGGGTTAACAAATGAATTTTTAGGTTTTTATCCCAATTGGCTTTTATCCCACTTTGCTGTGCAGCCAGCACCCTGCAGCTTTTCCTCCCAGCTCCTGGGGGATGGATCTGTACTGAAGTGGGTCCTAGGAGCAAAATCCATAAAATCTTCCCCAATTTCAAGGTGTGAATCATTCCAGGGTTAAAAACAAAGTGCAAACCCCTGAAATTTCAGGTAAAGATCTGCAATTGCAGGTTTTATCCTGAGTGGATGCATTGCCTCACAACTCTTAGGGAGCAGGATCCATGCTAGAAGTGGTTCCCAGGCCCAAAATCCATTAACTCACCCTCAGTTTTGAAAGTGTGAATTATTCCAGGGTTAAAAAGAAGGGTTAAAAGTGAAACATTGGTGTTTTATCCCAAACAGATTAATTTTTCTCAGAGCCAGCACCCTGCAGCAGCCCGTCCTCCTGGCTTCTGGAGGGCTGGATCCGTGCTGGAGGAGGCTTTTAGGCCCAAAATCCAGTTTTGAAGCTATTAATCATTCCAGGGTTAAAACCAAAGTGCAGACCCCTGAAATTTCAGGTAAAAATTGGAAATTACAAGCTTTTATTCCTCTCAGCTCCTGGAGGGCAGGATCCATGCTGGAAGTGGTTCCTAGGCCCAAAATCCATTAAGTTATCCCCAGTTTGGAAGGCGTGAATCACTCCAGGGTTAAAAAAAAGTGTAAACTGCAAAATTTCAGGTTTTTGTCCGTAGTGGATGCCCACCTGACCCCAGGAGGGCAGAATCCGTGTTGGAGGCAGTTCCTAGGACTAAAATCCTTAAAATTGTCCCCGTTTTTAAAAGCATGAATCACTCCAGGGTTAAAAACAAATGTAAAAAAACTGAAATTTCAGGGTTTTATCCCCAGAGGATTTATTTTGCTTGGAGGCAGCAGCCCTTCCTCCTGGCTCCTGGAGGGCAGGATCCCTTCTGAAGGTGGTTACGTGGACCAAAACCCTCAGAATTCAACCCAATTTTGAAGCCTTCTGCGGTTTAAAAATGTGTAAAAACCTGAAATTTCAAATTTTTTAATCACGAGTGGATGCATTTATTCCAGGCTCAGGGAGGGAAGGATTCGTGCTGGACGTGGCTCCTAGGACTAAAATCCGTCCCCAGTTTTGAGAGTATGACTCATTCCAGGTTTAAAAAGAAGTGCAGAAATGTGAAATTCCAGGTTTTTATCTCAAGGGGATTCATTTTGCTTAGAGCCAGCACCCTGCAACCTTTCCTTTCAGCTCCTGGAGGGCAGGATCTATGCTACAGGTGGTTCCTGGCACTGAAACCCGCATAATTCAACCCAGTTTTTGATGGTGTGAATCATTCTAGGGTTAAAAAAAGTGTCAGCCCCAACATTTCACTTTTTTATCCCAAGTGGACCCATTTCGTCCTTGCCCCGGCTCAGGGAGGGAAGGATCCGTGCTGGGGGCGGTTCCTAGGACTAAAATCCTTAAAACTGTCCCCAGTTTTGAAGGCACGCATCACTCCAGGGTTAAAAAACAACAACAACAAAAAACAAGCGTGTATGAAGGTGAAATCTCAGCTCTCCCCTGGAGTGGATGCACTTCCTCCCGGCTCCTGGCGGGCAAGGACCCGCGCCAGAAGTGGTTCCTGGGACCAAACCCCTCCGAATTCAACCCAAAATTTTGACGGCGTGACTCATCAGAGGGCTGGGGGGGGGAGGAGGGGGAGAAGTAAAAAAAAAAAAAATAAAAAAAAAAAAAAAAAAAAAAAAAAAAAAAAAAAAAAAGAAAGAAAGCGCCGCGCACCGCAACTCCGAGTTTCCCCCCGCGCATCCCGCCCCCGCGAGCGGGCAGGGGGGCGGAGGCGGTGCCGGGGCCCCCGCGGCGCCGCTCCCGCCCTCGGCCCCGCTCCGTGCGCTCGCTCCGCGGCGCTCGGAGGCGGCGGCGGCGGTCGGGATGGCCCGGCGGGCGGGCTGGGGGCTCTGGGCCGCGCTGGGCTGCGGGCTGTGCCTGCTGGCGGGCGGGCAGGAGCCGTGGCGGCAGCTCATCCAGTGGGAGAACAACGGCCGCGTCTACAGCCTCCTCAACAGCGGCGCCGAGTACGTCCCGCCGGGGCAGGAGCGCCCGCCCGGCAGCCGCTTGTTGCTGGCGGGGGCGGCGGGCAGCGTCCGCCGGCAGGCTCCGGGCTCCGGGACGGTGCGGGGACAGGCGAGACACCCCTTCGGCTTCGGGCAGGTGCCCGAGAACTGGCGGGAGGGCCCGGTGGGCGACGGCGCGGCCGCGCAGCGGCGACCGCCCGCCCGAGCGCGCCAGCCTTCATCCTCAGCGGCGTCAGCATCAGCATCCTCCTTCGCGTACGCCTCGGCGGGGCAGCCGCCGTACCCCCAGTACCCCTTCGCCCCGCAGTACGAGCCCTACGAGGCGCCCCGGGCCTACGACGAGGCTTTCACCTATTACCGGAGCACCGGGACCGGCGGGGCGGCCGTGGCGGCGGGGGCGGCGGCGGGGGCCAGCGTGGTGTACCCCTTCCAGCCCCGCGCCCGCCACGAGGACTACGGCGAGGAGCAGAGCCCCTACAGAGCCCACTACCCACCACCCGAACGGCCCTACGTGCCCGCCGTGCCCCAGCCGGTGGACGGGCTGGACCGGCGGTATTCCCATAGTTTGTACCACGACACCGGGATTGCGCCGGAGCAGAGCCCGGACTCGTACGCCAACCAACAAGCCGTCAACCACGGCGTGGCCTCCACGGATAACCTCCAAGCGGCCGTCGGGACTGGGTACGGGGGTCAGTACCCACCCTACGAGCCGCAGCCCCCGTTCCGGGTGGTGGAGCCCTACGGGGTCCCTCGTCCCGAGTCCTACCTGCCCGCCAGGAGCCCTGAAATCCCCCAAGCTGTCCCTGATAGCCAAGCCCGGGTCAGCGTGGGCAGCGTCTACAGGCCCAGCCACGGCGGACGGGGTGAGTTTGGGGGGCACCCCGGGGTGGGGGGCAGGTCCCCTGGGTGGGATGTGCCCTGGGTGCTTTGTTATTCCTGAGGGCAGAGTCCCCTTACATCCATGCCTGATGTCAGTCACTCTTCAAGGATGCTGCCCCGGTGCTGTGGGGACAAATGTGGCTGAGAGGTCACTGAGGGGCTGTTGGAGACCCTACATATTTTAGGAATGATGTTTGAGGTGGAGAAGAACAGAGAGGAAAGGGAAAGGGTGTGAAGGAGCAAATCCCAATGTGGGGTGTGGGCTTGATGTGGGCCTGTGCCATGTCCCAGGTCATCCTGTGCTCGTGGGGTGGGCCTATGCCATGTCCCAGGTCATCTCATACTTGTGGGATGAGTCTGTACTGTGACATGAGGGGACACTGTGCTTGTGGGGTGGGTATATGCCATGCCCCAGGCCACCCTGCCTGTGTGGGGTGGGTCTGTGCCATGGGCTGGGGTCACACCGTGCTCCTGGGGTGCCTGGATGCCACATCTCAGGTCATCCTGTATCCAGGGGGTGGCTGTGTGCCGTGGGTTGGGGGCTTGCCATGCTCCTGGGGTAGGACAGTGCTGTATCCCGGTCACACTGGCCATGTGCCCTGTGCCGGGTATGCTCAGCTCACGGATGGATGGATGGACGGACAGATGGATGGATGGATGGATGGATGGATGGATGGATGGATCTGCACTGCCTCAGCCAGGCCAGTCGCCTCCAGTGCTCCTCCCGTGCTAGCAGCACCAAGGCCGCAGCAGGGGACCGAGGTCGCAGCAGGGACACCCTCGTTTCATGTCCCACTGACCCCGATCCTGGTGAAATCCCGTGGCTTTTGGCTGAGCCTCGCCAAGAGTGTTTTTGCTCCGTGGTGAGTTTGGAAGCAAGGTTGGAGGGTGTGAGGAGCAGCAGCCTGCGGGATCAGCCTTATCCCTTGGGAAGCCCATCTCAGCTGGAGCCTCTGACCAGTCTGACCCCATGACCCATCCAGCCTCATCCCTGGTTTCTGGGAAAAACCCATCCCAGAGGATTTGGGCTGGGGGAAGCGTTCGTCCCAGCCCTGCCTGTTGCATGTGAGTGAGTAAACACAGCAAGAGCAGCCGGGCTGGGTCAGCCCAAGGTCCGTCTGGGAAAGAGCTCAGGGACAGGGTTTGTGCAGAGAGGATCTTCCTCTGGATCCCTGCCGGCCCCACCAGGAGCAGCCTCTCCTGCTGGGCCTGGGATGTGGGGGGCAATGAGTACTGGGGGTGAGGGATGAGGGGGGTGAAGTATGTGAGGATGGGGGATGCAGGGGCGAGGGATGCAGGGAGGAGGAGTGCTGGCAGTCCCGTGTCTCTGCGAGGGACGCCTGGGGACAGCTGCCCTGCAGATGACCCAGAGCAACAGAGGGAAATGGGAAGACGCCTGCCAAGTTTATCGTCTCCCTGTTGGCAACGGCTGTGTCCTTCAAGGATCCATGGAAGCTGGGCCAGGAGGTGACAGCGCTGTGGTTCCACTGGGGGAATCAGGATGCTCGTGGGTGGGTCAGCAACCCTCGCCAGTCCATCCACAGGACACTCACCTCTTGGTGCTGGAGCCCCTGGCCCCCTCTTTCACGTTTTTCCTTAATAAATCTAAAGACAGGAATAAAGATCATCCAAGCAATTTAGAGAGGTGGCCTGGCCTCTCCTCTGGGTCACTTGCTGCTCTCTCCAGCTGGGCTTTGTTTAGGGAAAGCTGTCACCTCCCTGGGGCTTGCCAAAAACCCCTCCAAATCTGTCACCCGCAGGGCCACCCTTTGGGATGGTTTCTTAATTGGTCAAAACACTTTATAAAGCCGAATCAGATGTTAATTATGCATCTAAGCTCTTTAAGAGCCTCTTAATCCCACCCGGCTCTGCAAGGAATGTGCAGCATTCCTGGCCCCTTGCTGGGGTACCTGGGGGGTTAATTAAGCAATTAGATCCCACCAGCTTTTATGAGAGGGTTTACTGGGGCTTGTGGGAGCACGGTGGATTGTCCACCTCCCTCCACCCAAACCAGATGGAGATATCTTGGAAGATGAGTTGGAATAGTTTCCAGTCCTAAATCTGTAGGTGACCAAGCCATGGTTGGGGTGCGAGAGAAGCATCTCTGTGTGTGTTGGCCGAGGGAGGGGGACTCTGGGCCAAGGAGATGGGGAGGAGACCCCAGAAGTCTTTATGTCTTCTGCTCATGACCCAGGGGTCACCCAAGTCTTGCTCTGGCGCTGTGTCACCTCAGGTCAAAGTGTCTCCCCTCTCACGGGGTTTGGACAAGGTGCTGGTTCCTAACAGGGCTTCCCACTCTTGACTGACCCCTAGGAGGCATCTCCAGGGGCTTCCTCACCCTGACCCCTACCAGGTCCTCTCCAGGGGCTTTCTCACCCTGACCCCAACTTGGACCCCATCTCCTGAAGGGTTTTTCACCTTGACCTCATGAAATGGATCACCCAGGGTTGGTTTTGGAATGAAAGTGGGTTTGGGGAATCCCATGGGGTGACAGGGATTTTGTTACCCAATCAACTTCAGTTGTGGTGACACCTTGGGGTGCCATCACCCATGGATGGGGCACCTGGGCCAGGAGATGACAGTCTCCCTGGGAATACCTTCCTTTGGTGGGTTTGGAGGTCAGTTTGGGTTGATTTGAGGTGTTTAACAACCAGCTCGGGTTTCCAAAATTCAGTGGGGATGAAGGGTGGTGTCAGGAGGTGCTGGAGGAAGGATTCTGCAGGGATGGGATGGGATGGGATGGGATGGGATGGGATGGGATGGGATGGGATGGGATGGGATGGGATGGGATGGGATGGGATGGGATGGGAAGGGATGAAAGGGTGCACCACAGGGTGGTGGAGGAGGGATGTTGTGGGGGTACTGCGTGGATAGGATGGCATGGCATGGCATGAAGGTGCGTATCATGAGGTGCCAGAGGAGGGATGCTGTGGGGATAGGATGGGGGAATGAAGAGGTGCACTGGTGCTGGAACCAGGGTGCTGCAGGGATGATATGGGATGGGAGGATACAGGATGGGATGGGATGAAGGAATAATGGGGTCTCAGTCACTCAGAGCGTCCTTATGTCCCCATCCCCACCGCTAAAACCACCCTGCTTTGGTGCTCCTGCCTCTCCAGGGCTGGGACCCAGCACTGCCGGGCACAGGGAGGAGAAGCAGCTGCCCTCTCAGAAAACTGCTGGAGCTGGGATTTTTGGGCTAAGCCCGGCACACCTGCACAAACAGCGCGGCGGGAGCGGGCCGGCCTTTTTTTATTATTCTAATTTTCACGGTGAAGAAGAAGGAAATCTTCTCTGGCAGCTCCCAGGGCAGGCTGAGGGGCCGAGGAGGAAAAACAAACATTTCCCTGCTGTGGTTGTCCCGTTTCAGAGGCGATGGCGTGGGGGCTGCCAGGGCTCTCACTTGCAGGAGGTGGGAAAATGCTGGCTCAGCAAAAAAAAAAAAAAAAAAAAATCGGGATTTGGCCAACTGAGACGGGGACAGTTGGGTTCCCCGCTGTGCTGAGGGGACATTTGTAGGGTGGTGAGGCCAGATCCTGCCATCCCATTAACTCCAGCGACTCCGGCGCTTGCGGTTTGACCCTTCACTGCTGAAAATCAGGCGCGAGACCCTACAATAACAACGGGGCCATCCAGGGCGAGCTCCGTCGTGGGGGGAAAATAAAACTCCCCGTTGGTAAAGGAGTCGGATTTCTCTCTGGAGCGTCCAAGAATTTATTATAAACAACAGTGGGGAGGAAAAGCTGTTTTATAAATGATGACAAATGTTCCTCTCACAGGCCCGGGGTCGTTCTCCATCGCTTTTTTGTTATTATGTTTTTCAAGGGAGGGGGGGAAAAATGTCTTTCCTAGCTCTCCAGATTTTCTTGCCCCCGGCCTGTGAGGCCCCCCCTGGGTATTACATCAGCAGCGATGACCAAGCGAGCGGGGCAGGAAACGAGCTCCAATGGAGTGACGTGATCCCTCGAGGGAAGGCAGGCCCAGAAACAAGGAGGCATTGTTCTTCTTGTCCAAGGAAAAATAGGGAAAAAAAGGGAAAAAAAAAAAGGAAATGTGCTGGAAACTGTCTGGGGGCAAAGAGAGGGTGGGACTGGAGCCCCTGGGTGCCTTGAGAGGGGATGGGGACAAGGATGAGGATGGGAGGGAGTGGGGATGAAGATGATGGGGATGAGAGAGGAGGCTGGAACCAGGGTAGGGATGGACAGGAAGGTGAGGATGGGAGAGGGGTGGGCAAGAGGAGATGAGGATGAGGAGTGATGATGGGGATGAAGATGGAAATGGGACTGGGGATGGGCACAAGGAGGAGGATGCAGACGTTGAAGATAGGGATGGTGATGAGGATAGGAATGAGGTTGGGAATAGGGATCGGGATGAGGAAGGGGCTGGGTGTGAGGAAGGGGATGAGGAAGGGGATGAGGTTGAGGGGTGAAGATGGGAACAGGGATGGGGATGAGGATGGGGACAGGGATGGGCAGGAAGATAGGGAGAGGTATGGGAAGGGGGGTTGGCATAAGTGTGAGTATGGAGAAGTAGAAGGGGATGGGGGTGAAGATGGGGATGGGAATGAGGATGGGGACTGGGACAGGGATGGGGTTGAAGATAGGGATGAAGATGGGGACGAGAATTAGGAGAGGGATGGGCATGACAATGGGGATGGGAAGGGGATGAGGATTGGCAGTGAAGATAGGAATGGCCTTGAAGATGGGGAAAGGAATGGTGATGGGGATGAGGAGGAGGGTGGGAATGACAATTAGGATGGGCATGTGGAAAAAGAGGAGGGGTGAGTGTGGCAATGGGATGGGGACAAGGGTGGGGACAAGGACGGGGGATGAGGGTGGAGATTGGTTGCAGATGGGGATGGGCAGGAGGACAGGGATGGGGATGAGGACAGGGATAAGGATGGGAATGGGGAGAGGCTGGCGAGCCTATAGGAAGGACAGACCCTAAGCACAGGTTGTAGGAAAGCAGGACTTTGCAGAGGGCTGGCAGAAGGGAAACTGAGGCACAGACTCCCAATCCTTCCTGAGGGGCAGATGCTGGGGCACTTTCCAGGTCCATGGTGGCAGAGGAGCCTTTGGGAAGGGGAGGTGTGAAGGGGTGTTGCTGGGGGGGAAAGTTCCAGCTCCATTAAGACTCCATAATAGTTTTAGAAACTGAGGCAGCCCCTGCCTGTCTCTACATCTGTCTGTCTGTCTGTCACAGGTCACTTAAATGTGGCCCCAAGCACGGGGAACTGTTGAGAATTCAAGGCGATGAGGGATAACAGCAAGGGCTTCCTGGGGTTAGCTCTCCACTTTCACCCCTGTTTTGGGGTGAAAAACAGGAAACAGGGATGGAAATAGGGATTCTCCTATCTTGGGGGTCATGGGGGTCATGTCACCCCTGTCCCTGACTGCCACAGGGGCTCAGGGGAACCCCAAAATCCCTCTCAGGGGGCCAGGCAGGGCTGAGTGTAATCGCTTCCAGGAGGATGGGTTGAGCAATCCTGCTGTAGGGAAATGGAGGACTGGGCTTTGCCAGCGGGAGCTGCGAGGGAAGGGGAGGGGAAGGGAGGATTTTCCATCTGCAGCTTAAAATTAAAAAAACGTGGTGGTGACCGAAGGAAAGCTTCCCCCACCCCTGCCTTGACTGCTTCGAGGAGAGGACTGTGGTGTCCTCAAGCCTTGTCACCAAGCCCTGTCCCCGCCCTCAGGGCTGTCCCCAAGCCCTGTCCCTGTCCTCAGAGCTGTCCTCCTCCTCCTCCTCCTGGCAGGTCTCCCTGACTTGGTGCCGGACCCCAACTATGTGCAAGCATCCACCTACGTGCAGCGAGCTCACCTGTACTCACTGCGCTGCGCCGCCGAGGAGAAGTGCCTGGCCAGGTAGGAGCAGCTTTCCTGGGAGTGTGATGTGACCCGGGATGAGGGGGACATGGGGACACGGGGGGAAGAAAGGAGGGGAAATGGGGCAACGGGTTGCAGGGAGATGAGTGGAGAGAGGGAGGACCTGGAGAGTGGAATGGGGGATGTGCTGATAGGGGAGGAGGATGAAGGCAGGGGATGAAAGGGGAAAGGGAAGGAGAGGGGAAAGCAAGGAGGGAAGGGGACGGAGGAAAAGGATGAAGGAGAAGGATGGAGGGCAGGAGAAAGGGAAGAGGAAAGGGGAAAGGGAAGAATAGGAAAGAGGGATGGGGAAGGGAATGATAGGGAAGAGGAAAAGGGATAGGAAAGAAGGAAAAGGACGTGGGAAAGGATGGAGGACAAGAAGGAAAGGGAAAGGGAAAGGGAAAGGGAAAGGGAAAGGGAAAGGGAAAGGGAAAGGGAAAGGGAAAGGGAAAGGGAAAGGGAAAGGGAAAGGGAAAGGGAAAGGGAAAGGGAAAGGGAAAGGAGGATGAAGGAAAGAAGTGAATGGGAGAAGGAAAGGAGAAAGGGAAGCAAAGAGGGAAGGGGAAAGGAAAGGAGAAGGAGAAGAAAAGGGAAAAGGGGAAGAAGGATGAAGGAAAGAAGTAAGGAGAGCAAAGAGAAAAGGGGAAGAAGGTTGAAGGGAAGAGGGGAAAGGACAGAAGGAAAGAGGGAAGGGGAAAGGAAAAGGCAAAGGGAAGAGCAAAGCAAGGCATGATGGAAGGTGTCTGGTGGGTGCTGCTTCTCTCTTTTTTTCATAATTTCCTTTTCCACGGAGGGAACTCTCCCTACAGAGGTGCTCGCTGGGGATTTTCCTCCTTGGGGTGCCAGGGCTGGCACTCCACCCTGCACCTGGGGGGCCTCTGTCCCCCGGGGGGCTGGGGCTGAGGGGACATTGGGTTTGACCCTCCCTGATGTCCCCAGCACCGCCTACACCCCCGAAGCCACCGACTACGACGTGCGGGTGCTGCTGCGGTTTCCCCAGCGGGTGAAGAACCAGGGCACAGCCGATTTCCTGCCCAGCCGGCCCCGGCACAGCTGGGAGTGGCACAGCTGCCACCAGTGAGTGTCCCTACCCCGCCTCCCCTCCACCAACCAACAGTTTGGTGGCAGCTTTAAGGCTTTTTAAAGGCATTTCCCCCGTTTCGTGGCTTTGCTTTGAGGTCTTGGTGGGAGGGGGGTCACCTTTCAATTGCTTCTTGTCCCCAAAGCCACCACGCTCCTGCAATTAATGTCCCCAGGGAGGGAGCTGGAAGGCTGCTGTGGAGCCAGCCTTGACGAGGAGCCCCCGAAAATCACATCTGGGGAGGGAGTGGTATCATTCTGGGGGGTCACCCTGACTGCTACCCCCCTCCATCCCCAGGCACTACCACAGCATGGATGAGTTCAGCCACTATGACCTGCTGGATGCCAGCACGGGCAAGAAGGTGGCCGAGGGCCACAAGGCCAGTTTCTGCCTGGAGGACACCACCTGCGATTTTGGCAACCTGAAGCGCTACGCCTGCACCTCCCACACCCAGGTGACCTTGGGGGTCCCGGGGGAAGGGGCTGCTCGGAGTTCACCCCCTCCGCAGCACACCTGAACCCCCTTTTCTCCTCACAGGGCTTGAGCCCGGGTTGCTATGACACCTACAATGCCGACATCGACTGCCAGTGGATCGATATAACGGATGTGCAGCCAGGGAACTATGTCTTGAAGGTGGCCAGGGGCCTGGGGGGAGATCTTTGGGGCGAATATTCCCAGTTTGGGGTTGGCTCAGGATCTTCAAACTATCCCATTCCGGACTTTCTTTGGTGGCATCCCTTTAACGTGGGTTTAGGTGCTGCTTGTCCCCACCTCTTAATAATTTTTTTGGGGGGGTGGGTCTTTTCCTTCCCTTTTGTCTGTTTTTAGGTTCAGGTGAACCCCAAATACATCGTCCTGGAGTCAGACTTCACCAACAACGTGGTGAGGTGCAACATCCACTACACCGGGCGCTACGTCTCCACGACAAACTGCAAGATTTCCCAGTAAGGAGATGGCCACGTGTCCTTCCCTGTCCTTCTCTTCCTTATGTCCTGCTCTGTTCTTCCCTTGGCACATCAGAAAAAAACAGTTGGGGGTTGGACCTGAGTGGTTTAATTCCTTTTTTCTTCCCTTCCATCTGGGTTTTCTCTGTGAACATTAGAAAAAAAAAAAAAAAGAAGCTGAATTTGGCCAATGGTGGGGCTGGGGCTCTCACTCCCTTTTGGAATGTTGATACTGGATCTTCTGGGATTTTGTTTTCTTTCCTTTCAGATCTTGATGGGAGCAGGGCCAGAGGGATGTCACCTGCCTCAGCCTCTGTCCCCCTCTTCAGAAAGAAAACCTGAGCTCCTCTGCCCCACCAGAGACCCCGGAGCCCGCCAGCAGCTCCTCGAGACCACCCTCCCCCAGAAAAACCCCCCATGCCTTCACATTAAAAGGAGGGGAAGCCAGAATGACTCTTTGAAATTTTTTTATACTTAACTTTTCTTTAATCTTGGTTTTTTACCGTTTCCTGAGGGGATCCAATGCTGGGTTTTAGCTGGAATAAAGGCAGGGACCCATAAGTGCTGTATAATGTTGTAAATGCATATTAGCTCTGTAGTCCTTAACCCCTTTGGCATTTTTGGGGGTGGCGGGGTCTCCAGCCATGCTCTATTTCCCTGGGGGAAGAAGACAGCCTGGATTTGGAGGTGCTGCCCCAGGAAGGATGCTTGACCCCTCTTTTTGAGGTGGCTGCCACGCCGGGGTGCTCCAGACACTTTTGGGACCAAAGGTGCTGGAAATCCCATCACCTTTAACAGAGAAGTCTCTCCGTCTGCCCAGCTTTTATAAATACGGAGAGTCCTTGAGATGACTGGAAGTCTTGGTTTATTATTTTTATTGTTATTAATGTTATTTTCACAAGCTTTAAAACGAGAAACCATTAAAACACATTGCTTTGGAGGGGCTGGTGTTTAACTGACGCCACGGTGGCACCACAAAGACCCACTGAGGGCTGTCCCCAGATGTCCTTGGGCCATCCAGGATGTGAATCTCTGCCAAGAGATGACTATTGTCCTTTAATCCTGGATGCTGGGGACCAAAGGGCACAACCCATGGGGAGATGGGACGCATGGACTCCCTAGGACACCCTCAGTGCTTGTTGCTGCCTGCCTGGATTGGGGAGGGGTTGTGGGACACGGCCACCCTCTTGTGACATCCTGTGGCTCTGGGAGCTGCAGCCCTGTCACCACACCCCACTGCCAGGTCCTTACCCCGCCTTGCATAGCCTGTCCCCCCAGAAGCCCTGCATCCCTGTCATCCACTCCTGTCTCCCCCTCATTCGCTCCTGTCCCCCCCCCCAAGCCCTATGTTCTCTTCATTCACTCCTGTCCCCCTCCAGCCCTGTGTCCCCCTCATTCACTCCTGTCTCCCCCATTCACTCCTGTCCCTCTCAAGCTCTGTGTCCCTCTCGTTCACTCCTGTCTCCCCTAAGCCCTGCCTCCCCCTCACTCGCTCCTGTCCCTCCCCCAGCCCTGTGTCCCCCGTCCCCAAATCACGCCCCCTGTTAGCCGCGCCTCTCTCCCTGCCCATATAAGCACCCCCCGCGCCACTCCCCTCCCCTCCCTCCCTCCCTTTCCCAATCCCTCTTCTCGCAGAAGGCCCGATCCAGGTGGCCCATCCCCGGGCTTCGGGAGCGGCCTCGCCGTGGAGCGCAGAGCGGGCCCGGGCTCTGCGGCGTCCGGGGCGGCGGGGCCAGGCTGATGGCAGGGCCGGGCCGGGCTGATCGCGGGGCTGGGCCGGGCTGATGGCAGGGCCGGGCCGGGCTGATCGCGGGGCTGGGCCGGGCTGATCGCGGGGCTGGGCCGGGCCGGGGCAGGCGGGAGGGCCCGGCGGCTGCAGTGCCCAGCGCGGCCGGGAGGCGGCGATCGTGCGGCGCGGGACGGGCCCGGGACCCCCGGGACTGGGGGGGGGGTATCTGGAGCTTAAACTCTTGTAATTAAAGACAATAAAGCTGTTGTGTGCTCCTACTGTTATTCTACTACTATTATTTTATCCTGTTACTGCATTATTATTTTGTGGTATTATCATATTTTAGCTCTATTATTCTGATATTTTCAATTTTTTAAATTCTATTCTGCTGTTATTACATATACAATGTTTGTTAAATGAAGGTTGTAGGGCAGGGGCTGGGCCTGAAACAGCAATTGCGGGGCTGGAGGGGACATGAAGGCCCTGGGGCTGGAGCCAGACCCGAAGTGATGTTGGAGTGATGGAAATGCTGGGGCTGGAGCTGAAATAAATCCCTGGGAAAGGGGATGGAGCTGTCGGGGCGGGGGGGGCTCCCAGGCACTAAATGCCATCTGAGAGGTCTGTAGAGGCTGTTCCTGAAACCCTGCAGGGCTAGTGCAGTCTAGCTCACCACTGAGATCTTCCAGGCTGGGCCCTGCACCCTGCTCTGCTCCCCCTTCCCCCAGGAGCAGTGACAAGGCCAGGAAACCCATCTGGAATTCCTCTAGAGTGAGGAAACTGTCCCCCCACGTCCCCCATGATTGGGGCCTTTCCAAAACTGAGCCTCAGCAAGGGTTGAAACCCAGGTGGAGATGTTGGGGCCCTCCCCCGGCACTGGGGGCTCCAGCACTCCCGTGTCCCAGGGATGGATGCTCCCTCCCAGCCACGTCCCGGGGATGCTGTCACAGAGGGAGAACCACGGACACGGTTTGTCCTTCCCAGGCTTTATTGGGCTCTGGCCCCACGCTCAGGCCTGAGCACGGGCACACCTCCTGCGGCCCACGCCGATGGCCAGCACGGCTGCTGCCAGCCCCACGCCGGCCACCACGCAGAGCAGCACCGTCCCCACGCCGAGCACGGCCGTCACCCCGCCTGGAAAATCAAGGGCAGTGTCACCGCTTGCCACTGGGGCCACGTCACAGGGGTACATCCAGTGGGGACTCACCCTGACCACCCTCCTGCCGCCGTCCCCCCGTGCCCAGGTCCCCCGAGAGCAGCACGGGGCCGATGACCACGTCAGCTTCAGCCTCTTTCCCTGGGGAGGAAGGAGTGATGAGGCTTGTCCCCAGCACCCTGGGGTGTCCCCTGTGTCCCCACAGGGACCTTACCCTTGGTGTCGTGGCGGCGGAAGCGGCGGCCGGGCCATCGGTCCAGGGGGTTGAGGCTCTGGGAGAGCGCAGAGGACCCGCAGTTGCCCATCTCGCAGCAGCTGCAGATGTCCCGGGTGCCTTCCACGGGTGCCCAGCTGGAGCAGGGTGGGAAAATTGTCACCAGACAATGCTGGTAGGGACCTTCCTGGCTGTGCCCCATCCTGGCAAGGTGGCTACTCACGTGTTTCTAGCTTTGTTGAAAGAGCAAGCCTTGTTCAGGGGGTCCGGGGTTTGGTCTGCCGGGGTCACCTTCAGGTGACAAGTGATGTAGATCTGTGGGGAGGGAAAGGAGAGAGGTGGGCACCTGCCAGTGGGGACAGCTGCTGGCTTTGGGGCTGGCAGGGGACACACAGCCTTACCAGGTTCCTGGTGTCCCCTGCGAACCTGAAGACATCAATTCTGAAGCGCAGCATGTCCTCCCGGGGCCGGGGGGTGATGAAGGCAGAGCTGGTGTCGTCCAACCTCCCATCAACCAGGCACCTGGGGTGGGATTGGATGGGATGTGGGGGTCAGCACGCCGGTGGATCCCCCCCCATACCCCGCACGTCCCTCAGGGCTCACCCGTTGAAGTCGATGATGGTGTAGTGGGGCGAGGAGTCGGCGCCGGGGCTGAGGGCGGCCACGCAGCTGTCCACGAACAGCCGCAGCGGCACGTGGCTCTCAGTGCCCACCTCCGCTTGGATGTTGAGGACATCGCCCAGCTGGAAACCGGTGAAGGGTCTCTCAGCACTCCAGTCCTCTGTATGGGGTGATGACAAAGAGGGGGTGGCTCTGCTTGTCCCCAGGTTCTCATGGGAGCAAAACCCAAAAGCAGGAGCGGAGGGGTTCGCCACGGAGTCCCCAGCGAGGTGCTGGGGAGCTCTCTTGCACTGGGAAAAGGTGGGAAATCCCCATCCACGGGTCAGTATGGCTTCCTACCTACCATTCATGAGCCGCAGGGAGAACACCAGCTTCTCCTCTGCCGACAGTGTGGAGCTGAAGGGAGCCCAGGTGGGTCGGATGGCGTTGCTGCTCACGTTCTCCCTCCTGGACAGGGAGCACTGCGCATCAGGATACAGCCCCGTGCTGATCCCCAAGGAGCAGGGTGGGGGCACCAAGGGCAGGAAGGCCTCACCTGGGGTAGTGGCACTCGATGGGGATGATGGCAGGGTTGGTGCGGATTATGACGGGGTTGCTGGCAGGGCTGGGGTCGTAGTTGAGCAGTGTGCGGTAAATGAGGGAATCCGGCGTGATCTGGGCACAAAAACATCGAGATGCCGTTGGAGAGGCCACTCCCCACCCTCAGCACCACCACCAGGCCATGCATCCAGCCTTTCCCAACTGGAAATGCTGGGGAAATCCAAAGAAAGGGGGAGAAAGGGCATGGAGAAGGAGCCCTGCTCTGTCCTCAGTGAGTTAAACTAACGTGGTAAAACATGAGTGAAATGGGTCTGATGGTGAAATGGGTGAAATGGCTTTGTGCTATCTGCCTGGCTCCCGCTGAATGGGCAAAGCAGCTGAGGGAAGAATGCTCCAGTTTGGGGGAAATACCTGCTCATCCTTCCCCCGGGCTGTTCCTCAGCTGTGCTCTGCATCCAGCACCTGGAGCTCCCCCGGCCCCACAGGGGATGCCCGGTGCACAGCCCCTGGAGCTGCCCCGGGAGCGGGGAGAGGCGGGGAGCCAGACGGGATGCCGGGACCGAGGGAAGCGGTGCAGGGGAGAAGGTCTTACCTGCACGGTGCTGCCGCACTCGTGGAGGCCGGCGGTGAAGGTGACGGTGTTGTGGGCGCGGCTCAGCGAGGAATGCTTGCACGCCGCCGGCCCCAGCGTCAGGTCGGCCGCGTTGACCAGGCGGCCGGTGCCGAAGAGGTCCCTGTGCACCGTCACCACCAGCTGAGCCTCCTGGCACTGCACCATCACCGGGTGCTGCCTGTAGGTGCCTGGAGACTGGGAGTCCCCCACCCAGGACCAGGTGCTGGGGTCTGCCCGCGCCTCCCGGCTCGCCGGCTCACCCCAGGAGAAATCCCAGGGTGGGTAGGCAGCCACCTCGCCTGCCGCCCAGCAGAGAAGAGAGAGGAGCAAGCTGCTTTCGGGTCTCATCCCTCCTTCTTCCAGCAAACCCTGGCACAGAGAACTGGGGCTGCTCCTTCAGCCTTTATATCCCCCCAGGAGCAGGAGCCGTCTGCCCCCGGGCTCCTGTTTGGGGGCCA